GGATCATGACCTGAGCCGAAGGCAGTCGCTTAACCAACTGAGCCACCCAGGCGCCCCTTATATAACATTCTTGAAATTATAAAATTATTTGAGTAGTGTCCAGGGGATAAGGTAGAGGTAGGCAGTAGGAGGGAAGTAGACATGCCTATAAAAGGACAGCATGAGGGGCCCCTGGGTGGCTCAGTCAGTTAAGCTTCTGCCTTGGGCTTGGGTCATGATCCCAGGGTCCTGGGATCAAGCCCCGCGTAGGGCTCCTTGCTCAGTGGGGAGTCTGCTTCTCCCTCTGCCCCTCCCTCTGCTTGTGCTTTCTCTCTCTCTCTCTAATAAATAAAATCTTTAAAAAAATAGAAGGGAAGCATGAGGGATCCCTGTGGTGATGGAAATGTTTTGTATCTTGACTGTATCAATGTTGGTATCTTGATTGTGATATTGTGCTATAGATTTGCAAGATGTTATCATTCAGGGAAACATGGGTAAAGTGTTTCTTTAAACTTCATGTAAATATGCAGTGACTTCAAATTAAAAAGTCCAATTAAAAAAACTAATAATAGATGTAAAGTGCCTGATACAATAACATTCAATTACTTTCCCTATCTCTAGGCCTCAACTTTTTTTTTTTTAAAGATTTTATTTATTTATTAGAGAGGCACAGCGAGAGAGGGAACACAGGCAGGGGGAGTGGGAGAGGGAGAAGCAGGCTTCCCGCTGAGCAGGGAGCCCGATGTGGGGCTCAATCCCAGGACCCTGGGACCGTGACCTGAGCCGAAGGCAGACGCTTAACGACTGAGCCACCCAGGCACCCCAAGGCCTCAACTTTTTTATCTATAATAATTATACCTAGTATTTCCTAAGCAGCTACCATATACCAGGTACTCGGTTTTCTCAAATATAATTTATGTAACAGCCTTTTGAGATATATACTGTTATCTCCATTTTGCGAATAAGGAAAGCAAAATTCATTTTTTTCAAGGCTGCAGTTAGTAAGTGGATGTATCAGTCAGGATAGGCTAGATTATGCTTATATAACAAACAACCCCCAGATTTTAGTGGCTTAAAACAGCAAAAATTTATTTTTTGCTCACTCCATGTCCATCGTGGATTGGCTAGGAGTGTTCTGTGCTATATTACCTTTTACCCAAGAGCCAGGCTGAGGAAGACTCCATCCTTGTATTTCCTTGATTGCTGAGGCAAGAAAAAGGGAACATGAATTGTGCACTGTCCTTAAGGTTTCTGCCCAAAAGTGATTCACATCACTTTCACTTATATTTCACTGGTTAAAACAAGTCATGCGGCCATTTACATAAATTAGGAGGGCCAAGAAGTGCTGTCCTACTGTATGCTTGGAAGAGAAACAAATACTCTAGTGAACAGAATTAATAAAGTCACAACTCAGTCCAAAATCCGTACTTTTTCCTTTGTACCATTGATTTCATAGGATTGTTGCAAAGATTAAAAATATGAAAACAGGGGCACCTGGGTGGCTCAGTCGTTGAGTGCCTTTGGCTCGGGGTCCTGGGATCGAGCCCCGTATCAGGCTCCCTGCTCCGTGGGAGGCCTTCTTCTCCCTCTCTCACTCCCCCTGCTTGTGTTCCCTCTCTTGCTATGTCTATCTCTGTCAAGTAAGTAAATAAAATCTTTAAAAAAATATATGAAAACATATGGAAGAATTTAGTTTGGGATCTGGCTTGTAGTTTGTATTCAACAGATATTGAAATGGAATTCTAGATAGTGGTTAACATAGAAACAGGTCAAGTTTGTGTTCATATTCTTTTCTGGTCATTTTTTGGCATAAGTCTCTCTTGGCCTCACCTGATGACCCGTGCAGGAAGCTGTCTCACAGTTGGTAATGTTGGTAATGTCCCACGGCTGTGCCCTTTGCCCCAGCCTCCATTCCCAGCAGATTTCCTGTACTCTCTTGATTTCCTGAGGAACTTGCTCACTGTCATATAGCATCATCGGCTGATTTCAGATGGGCTGATGCCTAGAGGGTATTTATTCAATCTCTGGAGAGGAAACTGAGGCCCAGAGAAAGGCTCAGACGTGCCTGAGAACATATAGCTATTCAGTAGCAGACCCAGGACCGGAACCCACTTTCCATTCCTGAGCTTAGTGCCCTTCCTACTGCTTTTCACAGGGCTGATAAACTGATCCCTCGTACCAGGTTAGTGCACTCTGCTAACAGGGGATTCATATACTTTTCTCACTTTCTCTCTTACAGTACTGAAGGTGAACAAGAGGAGACATTAAAGGAATCACCAGGGGAGCTGAAGGAGAAAGACATGTAGGGCCACCAAAGGGTTGCCTAAGGATGCTGTGTAAAGTCTTGGTTTTAGGGGAATAGTATTTCCTTATTTGTAAGAGAATACTTTCTTCCCAATTTTATGTATACGTTTAATGTGAGCGTGTTTCTTTTTTCACCAAAAACCTGTTATGATGATGTGATCTAAATTAATAGCATCTTATAATCAAGGAAATACAGTGATAATGATGATGATGATATTAATAAATTTACATTTGAGGTAGATGAAATCTGTTTTCCATATAAATATACTTTTGTCTGTGGAAATAGTTTATTTTTAGCTGCTGAGATATGTTTAAAGTTAGTATCTCTTTTTAGGATATTCTCTAATACTCTCATTCAGATACATATGATAGTCTAAGATAGTCTAATTCTGGTCTACTGCCAAATAAAGATTGTTGTCAAGAGCATCCTTAAAAAGTACCCCTTGGGAATATATTGTTTGATTTTTCTAAACATCTCCTAATTACTTTGTGCTTTTAATTTCTTAGATCACTGACAGACATTCAAGACCTTTCTAGTATCTCCTACGAACAAGATGGTTCTTTTAAAGAAGTCTCATGCAAAACCCCCAAAATAAACCACGCACCTACAAGTGTCAGCACTCCGCTCAGCCCAGGTAATCACTGCAGGGAGAAGTGTTTGAGGAGAACAGTTGCTGCCCCACTGGCTCTGGGAAGCCGACCATGAGAACAGACCGGCAGGTGTTTCCTCATAGTGCAGAGGTGTCTGTCTAGCGCCAGAACTGATGGGGATAACCCCATGGGGGGCCAGGTAGGGGTTGTTGTTGGTGGTTATTAAGCAGCTATAGGGAGTTTTTTGACTTTGGTGGTAGAGACACGTAAATGCAAACTGTACTTTTTACTCTAACACTACTGAATTTAGTGCAAATACATTGGCTTCTCTAGAGTTTGTAACTCAAAACCTGTTGCTTAAACATACATAATTTTGAGTCCTCCAACCTCAACAGCCAGCATCAAATAGCCTCCCTCTGGTGTCCTTAGTTCCATTATATTTGTGGTTCCAATAATCTCCCTTTATTTTGATGGCCAAGTTTAGAGACTGTCTTTTTTTTTTTTTTTTTTTTTTATACTTTGAGGAGCTATGTGTCATAATCAGTGATTATTTTAGTTATTAACAATTTGGAGAATCCCTGGTATAGATAGTTTTGTGTTTTTGTTTTTAAATAATGTAAAGGATTTGGACACTAATTGCCCTCTTTTCTACAACAGGGTCAAGTTCTTCAGCTGCCAGTCGGTATAAAGACTGCCTTGAAAGTATCACATTTCAGATTAAAACAGGGTCTACCTCATACTGGAACAGTCAGGAATCTATTCAAACTTCATCTGATAGATTTTCAACCGTTCGAGAGGAAGCAAAGAGCCTAGATTCCTTTCTTACTTCCTCTGAAACTGTTCCTTCAAGACTGACTGATCTTGTAAGTATACCGACTCTGCTTTCCATACTCATGGAATCAGCCCAAAGGCCTTAGGGATCCAAAGTACTAAGATTTCTCCAAATCCATTTTACAAAGAAAGCAAGAAATAAGCTGGATCTTCTCTAGGCCTTCTTGGGGTGTCTCTCTGAGTCTGTATTATAGGATAGATCTTGGGTTTTTGTGCCTCCCCCCCACCAGAGATAATGGCTAGCAATTTCTTTAAAGAGCCAAACTGCAACAGCTTATAATGCTACTACCTTCACCTGCAGTGTACTTTCTGTCTACACATATCCTACTCACTTGAGGAGGCTTGAGTTCTCCTTCCTCTTTGTTGCCTCCTCTGCTTGGTTTCCCGAGAGTTTTGATTGATCCCTACCTTCTCTGAACTCCTGAACTAATAGTCTGTAATAAAAACACATATTTGTGTACTACCTTCTCCACTCCTCCTCCTTCTGCCCCTGCTGTCCTTTTTTTTCTCTTCTCTCTCCCTCATATTTCATATGTATAGTATCTTCAAGAAAACTACAAATTCCTTACTTGGCACTGCTCATTAAAAATCTGTTGACCAGGGCGCCTGGGTGGCTCAGTTGGTTAAGCGACTGCCTTCGGCTCAGGTCATGATCCTGGAGTCCCGGGATCGAGTCC